TTTCTGTATGTATGAATCCATGTATACATTATGCATACGTATGTGTATGTGTACGTGTACCATCTGTCTATGATTCGTGTTTGTATATATGCATGCATGTATGCATGCATATATGCATGCATGTATGCATATATGTATGTATGTATGTATGCATGTATATATGTATGTATGTATGTATGTATGTATGTATGTATGTATGTATGTATGTATGTATGTATGTATATACACACGTTATGTATACGCGCGCGCGTGTGTATGTGTGTGTGGGTATTTTCTTGTACTTTTCTTCGACTCTCGACTGTCAAAGGAACACAGTGAGATATTCGAGGCTTTTATGATCCGGTTTTTCGTTTGACACCCGAGGAAGGTAGCTGCCGATACTCGCCAAACTTTTTAGTGTCCATCTTACTTCCGAGGACACGGCGTACACCTAGAGACCTCGGTTGGTACGAAGCATAAAGGAACACGGCGGTTGTATCCTCCCACGCGATGGGATCGTTGTAATCGTCATCTTCGTTTCTATCCATTATTCTTTTCGTTCGTACATGTACAAATTGCACACGTGCGAATACGTGCTCGTTAGAGATATTCGAAACTTAGTGTCACTGAGTTCGTGTTCTATCGCGACACCCAAGTATACTTGGTTTCATCGTTCTGTTGATAACGGAGGAGCACAAAAATTGCAGAATTCCACGGTTCCGTTGAGAAGGAGGTTTTTAAAACGGGACGAGAATCGATATGAATGTAAGAAACAAACGCACCGTAAGAAATCGAGAGTGCTCCGTACTGTTAACATATTTTCAGAATAAAATTTTTTACTCGGATCGGGGGTTGGTACGTCCGAGACTCGGTCGAGAGATGTGTTAAACAAAGATGGCGCTTAGAAAGCGAAATGCGTCGATGGCAACCCTTTCGTGGTACTTTTAAAAATCCGAAGCATCGTACGAGGTAACGAAAAGAAATACACGGGCACACATACGCACGCAAACACACACACACAGACACACACACACATACACACATACACACACAGAAACATGATAAAATAGAGACAGAGGAAGAATGAGAGAGAGAGAGAGAGAGAAAGAGAGATAAATCATCTAGATTATAGACTAGACGACGGAACTTATGGTAAAACGTCGCATGTACCTACTCGTTTGTAACCTGAAGGAAGATCGTTTTCTGTCGTTTCGATCCCTTTGACGCGAGAAGTCTGTAAATAGATAAAATAATAAACGCCGAGGTACTCAGCTCCCTCCTGAAGATACTGTACCATAAACGATGCATTAACGACGCGGAACGGAAGGAGAAGCTAAAAAAGTAACAATGAAAAAACTGACAAAAAGAAGTAAAAATGATACACAAAGCTAAAGGAAGCGATATTACCTACGAACCCGCTATTAATGCGATTTAATTCAGATAAATTAACTACAATTAATAGCGAGCGAGAGCATACCATGCCTACATTAAACTACAGGTGTAGTATAACACGATAATATTATTATCAAAACAGTTCAATGTAAATTGTTATTTTTGTTGAAATAAAAATCACCTCCGTTATAATATATAACGACACGCCCGTCCCCCGGACCCAGACCTAACCAACGATCTTCAGGAACGTGTGAAAATTCGTATTCCTTCCTGTCTCTAATAATACAGGAGGAGAAGAAGAGAACAGATATAGTTCTTGGGCCTTTGTTCTTCTTCGTGTATCAGGTAGGTGGCGTCACTTGCATTGCCTCTATTGTCAAATGTCGATGTATTACCATAATGTGATGAAAACTGTGGTCATCACAGAAATCCGTCGAAATTCCTATCCTCGCACGACACGTTCGCAACACCACATAACAGTGGCATCTCTGCGTCTACGAGATGACAACCGAACCAACAAACAGGCTAGTTCATAGTTGCCTCATACACAGGGGCATCCGTGCGCCTACGAGACGGCAACCGAAACGACGAACAGGCTAGTATATAGGTTGCCGCGTAACAGGGGCACGTATGCGCCTATGATGATGCAACCTGCGTACAAACTAAATAGTACAGGTTAGTATATAACAGGGGCATAGGTAAAAGGTAAGTTCGAAATAAAATAAATAAATTGTGCAATCTCGTCGAGTACCAAGTTCTCCTGATACGAAAAGGTAAGTTCGAAATAAAATAAATAAATTGTGCAATCTCGTCGAGTATTCTCCTGATACGAAAAGGTAAGTTTCGAGACAACATAAAAGATCGTGCCACACCTCTTCGCATATCATGTTCTCCTGATACCAAAGTTTAAAATTCGGGCTAGAATTTGATACGTGCCATGAATTTCTCGTGCCACCTCTTCGCATATCATGTTCTCCTGATACCAAAATGCAAA